CCTTCGACCCAGGGTTCTTTTCGTAGTATAGGGCCCCAAATTAGGGGATCTGCTTTTGAAAGTGTTGGGAACTTTGGGAATGTATGCTGATAAGGATGTACGATGGTACTTATGAATGCTGGGCTGGCTTGAGACTGCCATGGTTCTGTTGGGACGTCCGAGCATTATCGAAAAGAATTCCCGAGACCGCGAACTCGACAAATCACACAAAGCCCTCTAGACCTACAAACCTTTGCACGCCCTTCAACTTGAGAAGAGGTCTCTTGGCTCAGCTCCATCCCGCCCTTGGCAGCAAACGGCACCCTGCGCTTGGACCCACCACGTGCGCCTTGCAGACCTAGGGTTCGTGTACTTGGAAGATGAGGGACTTAGTTCCTGGGTACTTCGTCATGATCCTTTAAGTAGGTTACGGCATACTGCAGGGCCTTATGGTGTAGGGAGAGGGCTTTAAGGCTTAATTATATGCTTGAGGGTGTAGGATTTAGGACAACGTCTGGGGCGGAGAGGTTTCTATAGGGGTCCCTACGAGTTCAGTGCTCCGCGAAAGTTTGGGTTGCTACGGGGTCGGGCTTCCGACTCCGTCTCAGGAATGGGGGGCTGTGGCTTCGTTCAACCATGTCCCCAGGGTTCCAGCTACTCAGGTATGGATTACTGGGTTACATCGATGATATCACAATACATGATTGGGCACAGGCCCTTCAGGTATCTTGAACCGAAGTGTCTCACTGTTCTTGACCTGATTTTGAGCAGTGTGACCATAGGAGTGGATGTCCCCATCGCGGCACTGAGCGTTGAGGCACAGGGCATTGCTGATATGCTCTTACGGATGCCGTAAGCATATTGGAGTGGACAAGTCCTAGAAACTGCTTGGCATTGTACACCGCGCGGCCATTTGCAAGCCGCAGGCACTCAGCACCCGTGGCCTTGAATCCAAACCGCCAGGTGTCCTTCCCAGATCAGTACGAAGTGAACTTCACCGGATCCCTGAAGCAGGCACTTCTTATTATGGTGCTCTTCTCGGGTGTTTTGGGTTTAGGGAGGGCCAGAGGACCAGACTCGGTTGAGGCTGCCTTGTTTATTCGGCTTTTCAGGTTTCAGGGTCGAGGGGAAGGAGAGGGCACATGGGCAGTTCTCTAGATTAGGGTCCCTTTTTAACAACACTTGTACGGCACCCTTATAAAAACGACCCTAAAAAGGACCCTAATGTCACAGGTGGAAACCTTCGCTCAGAAGCAGCCCACGGTGGTGAACCACGAGACCGGAGATGAGGTGGTGCCCAAGGAAAGGTTTAGGTTGTAGGGCAGAAGTTACAGCGCACATCAATCTTTCACTTTAGGGGCTTCGGGCTTAATGACGGTATGGGCTGGCTCCATACCCAGACCATTCACTCGTCAATATGGTCTCGGAAACACCGTATCACCAGAGCTAAAGTTGTCGAACCTGCAATGAACTAAGGCTATGTGCATGTGAGCATATACATACATAACATGTATAACATATGTTACATAGCATGTACAACATATATAACAATAATAATAATATTAATGTTAATAAGAAGAAGAATAGTAGTAATAATAATGATAACAATAATAATAATAATAAGAAGAAGAATAAGAATAACAATAATAATAATAATATGTAAAGAAGACGTTCTACGAACAACAGATGCACTGCCACACAGACGACCATATGAAGGGTCACAAAATGTTATGGAGATTGCTTTCGGAGGCTGCAACTATGTAGAAACTACGTACACTCCAGTAAGCATCAGTATATTTGCAGCAGCTTGGCACTTAAAGGCCAGTGGGGAATTCACAGGGCCTCGGCTGGAGTAGGTTCGAACGTGGAGAGAAAACCCATGCCACATGCCAAGACGATAGATTTCACAAAATCGCGGTTCAGATTCGTGCCAAACACGAGTTGTTGCATGCAGATCCATGTCCGCGATGCTGCCGTTTTGTATGAGGACTTTGACTTCGCATCAATGCCTCCGCCGTCGAAAGCGCGCGGGTCTCACAATGCGTCAGCTTGCAGAATGATCACCCAAAGTGTGAATGTCGAGCTGCCAGCAAATGCTTGCAAAAGCTTCAGCATCGCATCTTCTTACTGTGGGTTTGTGAGTCCCCCTTCTGATTCTTTCGATTGCTTTTCCCTGCAGAATGTCAACAGAATGATTGTGTACAACAAGTGGAGGACGTGGCAGGTGGGTCAGAATGTAACGGGCACCGGAGTCGGCTGCCGTACGAAGCAGCAACAGAATCTGGCCCATCGCGGCCACAACCACGGCATCAGCAACATCAAAAGCTTTGCGACGGCCATTGGCGCCATCAGAATTTCCTTCATCATTGCAACTATTGAAACCTAGCAAGACTGTCTGTTCTACACTATCTTCATCTTAATGACCACTTAGTCTACGACGGCCACCACCACCATCATCTTCTTCGTTCTATTCACGAGAACTCCGCTCACAACGCATTGCTACATGCAACCCACAAAGGGAGGCTGCCCATTCCCGTCCGTTGCTGGTGTATGTAGCCTGCAAACCGTGGCATAGAACACCCAAAAGCCAGAAGGCAGGAGGCCAATGCTTCATCTAGCTGCAACCCGAGCAAAGCGAACAGAGGCCCTCGAAGAACATGGGCGTGAAGTCAAAAATGCCGCGCAGTGGTCAGCGCTGGCGGCTTCTGGGCAGCATCTGGCAGTCTTGAGATCACGAGGGCTATATTAGCACCTTCAAGTTGAACCTTACACTAGCGCGCTGTTAGCTTCGACGTCGGATTGCGGTTGGGGTACTTGGCGGCTCGCTGCAGCTCAGGGTTGCCTTTGAGGTACACCGTCGCTAATCAGTAGTTTCATTCGTTGAAAAGGCTGGGAGTTAGAGCAACCCTCTTGATCTGTGGCAATGAGGCTCAGATCCATCTTGTTGTAGATACAGAAGACGACGTCACAGGGGCACTGATTTGAGGGCTTACATCCCCGAGGCGCTGTAGGGTTTAAGGGTCAGGATTTGGGATCAAAAATGCGGGGTTAAAGCAATTCAAGAGGTGCTGATTGGAGCGACATTCAGACATACTAGAGGGCCAAGCAGCCGTCGAAGTCCTGCATCGTCGTCCGTATGCCATCGGATATAAGAGCCAGTGATTCTGAGAGGTGAGTCCTAATAAAACCTCAGTCAAAAGCCTTAAACCTTATGTACACTCAATATACCCTTATAAACACCCCGAATAAGCCTACATAAGCTCTATTGAAACCCCAGAACCAGAAACCGCAGGTTCGAGCAGCTCCTGGTCGTTGATGGGAATGCGGCATTAGAGCTCGCAGCATCCTTGCATTGGGGGCCCGGGGGAGTTAGGGGGCAACCGTGGTCTGGAGGTTTAGGGCCTAGGGACCGACATGTTCGGAGTGCCCAAACCCTAAACCCTAAAAGTTGAAACTGATACCTGTCCTGCCAACCCACAACCATGAGAAGTCCTGACCATGGTGACTGGGGACATGGATAGTTGCAGTAAGAACGCGCCGTTCTTTTCCATGCAGAAAGCATGACATGATGAGGCATACAAGACGCCGCAGAAAGACCAAGATGAAAGCTGGAGCGCCTACATCACGAATTTTTGGACTCTTGGACCTGTTGGTCTTTGGCCTTCTCATCAAAGCTTACAACAAATTGGAATGGCCGTAACTAGGCATCGGCATGGCTTGCCTTCGACGAAGACTCCGTTGACTTCAGTCCAAGAGGGTGCTTCTGGTGAATTTCTTTCAGTCCTGTATTAATTTGTGTTTAAAAAAACGCAATGGTTCCGAAAGGTCACAGCGTATGCAATGGTCTTGCAGTGTTTCCTGCTTGCTGCTTTAAGTAGGGTTTCACACCTCCTGGCGTTTTGGGATCCACATGTTGCTCATCGTTCGACTATCACGAATGCGTTGACTCTGCAGTCGCTACTTGGGGGTCATGTGGACTCGGAAGTTGACATTATACCTAGGGGTCTTCATTAATAGCATCATGCAATACACCCCAAAACGCCATTGTAATTATCAAGGGTCCTATGTTACTACGACAGCCCGCTTTCCAAGCTGCCTCGCCAAGGAACACCCTGTGAGAAATTTGCCTGAGGCCTCCCTGTGCGGCTTGTACAGGTGACCAGCACAGGGATGGCAAACTGCTCTCTCAGAGTTGGCAGTTGCGGCTATCATAGGGACCTCAATGATTAGAATAGGGTTCCTTTTAAGGGATACTATAAGGGATCTATACGGGTACTATAGTATAGCTATCATTCATCTAAATCGTCGAGAGAGTGCATCGGCGACACAGTCATTGCCAAATGTTCGCTGATGCAAGTGACAGCTCCAACTGCCACGCTTCTTTAACAGGCCTGCTGCTGCTTGTTGCGATGCAAGAGTCAGCAGCCATCAGTTACAGTTTCGCGAGGGCCTGTATAGCGACGTCCTCGGCTATGCCATTTAAATTTTACACATAGCTTTCGCCATATCCAGGCGCTGTTCCAGTGCTCGATGTTTGACACCCAAAGCTAAAGTACCTGCCACATCTTGGCACAGACTCGGCCCTCCGTTGGCTGAAGACAGAGGCAAAAGCTGCACCGTGCATCTGCATGATTTCAGTCAGACGGGCTGCAGTGCTAGCCTACTGTAGCGGCCTTAATGATTAGAATAGGGTTTTGGGTATCTTATTCTATAACCAAAATAAGGAATTCCCACAATAGTATTATTGGTAATCGGTTAGGCCCCTATGTTAGATCCCCTCTCTGTCACCGGTCTGCATGCAGCATGGATGAGACGAGCACGTGAGGCATCAGCCCCCTAACGAATCTACAGGGCCCCGAAGGACTCCTTCCCAGAGCCGTGCATAACTCGATTTTTAAACCATCCTGAACCCCTGAAGCCGCAAACTCTAAACCCTTAAGTCCCGAAGCCAGCCTTGACCCCTAAGCTCGAAGCCCTTACTCCCTCTTCTTGGAACCCTGAAGTCCTCATCCAGACCTCAGGCACTCTGATGATGCCAGTGGAGCTCCGCCGCACCGAACTCCGGCGTCAAAAAGGCCTGAAAAGAAACCTTGTTGAGGGGTTCGAATGTGGGTTTTCCTAGGGGGCATGTAGGTTTTGCAGTAGTAGTAGTAGTAGCAGCAGCAGCAGCAGTAGTAGTATTAGTAGTAGTATTAGTAGCAGTAGCAGTAGCAGTAGCAGTAGCAGTAGCAGTAGCAGTAGCAGTAGCGTAGCAGTAGGAGTAGGAGTAGGAGTACTAGTAGTGGTAGTAAGTAGTAGTAGTAGTAGTAGGGTTTCCGCACAGGTCCCTGAGTAGCTAGTGTGGTTCTGAGTTTTTTTCATAGTAAGACTGTTTCGAGACGGGGGTCTTGGGGTTCGAACCGGGGTTTGTGATAGACTAGCGAGCCATCAAAAGCATACCACGGCATCTTCAAAATCCAACGGGGCTCCCGTGCAGGCTTCGACTGCCAGTGCAAGCGATGCACTCTCGAAGCTGAAGCTATGAGTCTCGACCTGGCACAGGGATATCTTTTACTATGTGGCTTTCGGATTGGGGTGCAGGGATCTGTTGAGCAAGGTTGGGTTTCAGGGCCTTTGCTCGGGTGGAGTCGAGGACTCCTTGGCCAGCAGTAATTCCGGAGGTTGTGGTAACCAGTGGAGCAAAGTCCAGGCCTGAAATTCATGACTCTTTTTCTTGTCCCTCATGCCTGCTCCAGCCGTGAACAGGTGGTCCTTGAAACTGCAGGTAAGTTGTAGGAGCGGCGCCGGCGCTGCCTGCCTGCATGTCTGCCTGCGTGCACATGAATACGCAGTACATGAGAAAGGCAATTCAAGATTAGAGCAGGCTTCAATCTGTAAACTGCTTGTAAGCGACCCTGGACACGAATGCCCACAGCAAGCCCTCGTCCTGAAGCTGAAACAAAAACTGGAGCCTGGTATCATATCATAGTAGTTTCTATCCCTCAAGCGCTGAGGACTACTAGTTAATCGCTCATATAGGTCAGAACTTACTTATGTTAGTGTCGCTACGGCATATCTTCGAATATCGACTAGAGCAATCATGACCTGTCAACCCCAAACCTTCAAGCTTAATGTAGTAGCAAAAATGATTACCAATACTCTTTTGGGGATTCCTTATTGTAACTACGGTATAATATACCCAAAACCCTGTTCTATTTGTCAAGGCCCCTACAGTATAGAACCACTACTATAGATCCCTTTTGGAACCCTTTTCAGGATCCCTTTTCCGGAGCCCTGTTCCAATAATTCCCCTACAGTCAGCAGCACTGTTAAAGCCAAGTCCGGCTGAGCTGGCCCAACGGCTTCTCCACGTGCAGCAGCGCGCTGCCAAGCTGGCGCCTGGGCACATACGTGTGTATACACATGCCTGTCTGTGTGCTTGTATGTATGTATGCGTGTGTGAAGAATTGAGTAATTACATCCCTTTGATTTGATTGATCTATCAGTCTATCTACACATCAATCCATGTAGCTCTTTCTCCCCCCCTCTCTCTCTCTCTCTCTCTGTCTCTGTCTCTCTCTCTGTCTCTGTCTCTGTCTCTGTCTCTGTCTCTGTCTCTGTCTCTCTCTCTCTCTCTCTGTCCCTCTCTCTCTCTGTCCCTCTCTCTCTCTCTCTCTCTCTCTCTCTCTCTCTCCTTCTCTGTCTCCCTCCGTCCATCCATCCATCCACCTATGCAACTGTCTTTCCCTATTGCTCTGTCGATCTATCTATCTACCCATGTTTCCCATCTATCTAGATGTTCTTGTTTATCGAATTTCGGTGCTTCTTAAGGTGTAGTATTCAGTAACGGTGGCTGACTATCTGTTACAGCAGATGCAGGATTGTCTTTGAAGGTGCACAAGCTTCTGGCTTTCATTGTTGCCCTAGATTGCTACAAGACTTAAAGCACTCGTATTCAAGATCACACGGAACGCGTTTCCGTGGTAGTAAGCAGCATCTTCAACAGCATGTCAGCAGATGAGCTAATGTGTGTGTGTGTGTGTGTGTTAGTGTATATAAGTGTGTGTATATATACATATATGTATATACATACACATACAAATACATTTTTGCGCGTCTAGGAACTTCAAGCATGGTTACAAACAGACAAGCATGTATGTATGCATGTAAATCTTTATTTAAATGGACAGATAGATAGATAGATAGATATGTAGACAGATAGGTGGCTAGGCACAAACTTATTCCTAATGTAGCGCGACGTAGAGTCGCAAATAGATGGATGGTACACAGCTAGATAGATAGATAAATAGATGAGCAGATAGATAGATTAATAGCTAGGTAGGAGGACAGATAGACAGACAGACAGAGAAGTAGTGAGATACATAAAAACACAGGTGAGAAGATATGTGTGCGTGTGTGTCTCCATTTACATATACAACACATATGCGCACACACACACACACATATATATATATATATATATGTATATATATATATATGTACTTATTCATTTTTTATCTGTGTATATACATCAACTAACTAATGGTTTGCATATCTGCGAATCTCCCCGTGCCGAGGAGCTAAAGCCTGAAGACTTCTTGGCAGCCTTGGACGAGGCGAGGAGCCCACCAGCGTATCAAAGCACACACACTACCGGAGTGCATAAACGCGTGTGTATACATGTGGGCGGTTGTCAAAATTAGGGTCCCTTTTTAAACGTCCTTAATATAATACGGCACCTAATATTTAAGGTACCCAAAAAGGGTCCCTAATTTTGACAGCCACCCATGTATGTCTGTAGATATCTACGCAAACAGACCTATATATAACCACGGGATGCCTACGCGCACAAACCAGCAGAGATAGAAGGCGATAAAGCAGTATAGACTTTACGTAGTCGCTGCTGAATCGCTAAACATGAACTCAAGCTTGTTCCTGGATTCAATATTCTTCAACCCGTCGCAGCCTGAGCAGACATGCCACGTGCCCCTCGCAACCCGTCTTTGTCGCGAGTGCCGTCACAGGTAGCTGCCGTCACCCGCTCGGGCCTGAGTCGATTACTTGCACATAGCCATCTGTGCCTGAGTGCTAATGTTGCCGTCTTTTGAAAGCGACACAAGCATTTATGTATTTGTACATGCAACTGCATGCATACATGCATGCATGCTGGCGGTGAGTGGGTGAGTGACTAAACACATACTTTCACGGCGAAATGTATTGGTTCAAGAATGTCTCCCTGGCTTGCGCGTCCTTGTGTGCAACTGCATGCGATGCTGTCTGAAAGTATTGGTGTGTCTTTTTCGACCTGTTTACTTTCGCAGAATGGCGTATAATGAAAGCGAGCAGCAACGCCTAGCCTTGTATCAGACTTGCGTGCTGTAGAAGTTTAGGTTCCGATGCCCTGAATCCAGATGTCTGCCAACCTACTGTTCATCCGAGGATGATGTTTTATGGTTCAGGCTTGTTGTTCCATGCCTACGCCAGGTTTTTGAGCAGATGTGTGTCCTTAGATATGTGACTGCAGCCTTCTCAGGTCGCGAGATCAGCTCCTGCGCATCGCACTGGGCTGCAGCGACGCCAGATGCAGATGCAGCTTGCGTCACAGAGGCCTGACAGGTTCATAATCAGGAGTATCGACCTTATTCCACAGGCTTGTCTTCAATGGCTAGTGTTAATCTGGGACAGGACCGAAAGTTTCACGCGCGAGGGTTCGTCGGAAGCCGATCGATGCCCATACAACGAAAGCCTGAAAACTGGCAAGAGATGAAGGGTAGTTCTTACTGCAGTGCTTCTGCGCGCGAGTGTCTGAAGCGGTACTACTCAAAGTACTGCTGCTCTTGCGGTTATTGTGTTATCGCAGTGGCTGTTCTGATTTGCAAACCCTTCCGACGACCCGGAACGCCAACAAATCGGATAAAAGCTGATGCGGTTCAAACATGGGGCTTCTTCTTGGCTTAGCACCTTGCCTCATCTCTCCTGGCTACCGACGAAAATGCTTGTAAATTAGAAGTCAGACGGTGTAGTTCTCCTTAGGATGGTTGCTTCAACCCCGATGTGTACGAATGCCTCGGAACCTGCAAGTGGACCCCACACTAGTCTGCGTATACGATGAAAGCTTCACAAAACCCAATTGCACCTTACATGAATCCAAACAGTCCAAACACAGCAGGAGCAGCAGCCCCCGTTGAAACCCCAGTAAACAAACGCAGGCTCTGCTGGCCAGCTATGCATCGGTTTTCGTTGCACGAGCCATGGCCACGGAACAGGCGTTAGGGTCAAGGGTTTCCGGGCCCGGATGTGCGGAATTGGGTTTGGGCCATTGGGTTTCCGGGCAAGTACAGGGCTTCGCATTTCGTGGTGTGGGGCTTTGGTGTTTGGAGTTCAGAACCTGGACTTGGGCACAGAGGTTTGGCTGATGCCTGTAGAAGCCCTGACAAGAGAAAACGCCTATCAGCCATGAGCAACTCAGATCCCCGCCCCGAGCCCAAAGCACTACAGCCCCCTGTACCTCACCTTACATATTAAAACCTCACAGGAAGCCTTGAAGAAGCCTAGCCCTTGAAGGTGAGACTTTCGGCCCTTCCAAGAGGACGAAGGTACCGAAGAAAAGAGGTGAACCTGAAGCTAAAAACTAGCCTCAAATTCCACCCGAACCCCAAAGCCTAAAACCATCCTGCTGAATCCCATAGGCTGGACCCTAAGCCCAGAAACCAAAGTTGCTAAACCATACCCCTCAAACCTGAGTCCAATGCCTCAAGCCCTGCACAGACAGACCTGAACCCTAAACCCATAATATAACACATACATACGTACATACATACACACATACAGACATGCAGACATACAGACACACGGACAAGTATTCAGACATACATACAAACATACACACATACACAAATAGACGTATGTATGTGTATATGTATGTATATATATATATATATGAAGATGAAGATGCAGGCTGCCGGGCCCAGTCGGCGCTTTGAGGCCTGGGACGAAGCGCCTCGAACTGACTGGCTCCCTTCGCACACGGCTTTTGGGGCTTGGGCTCCTTCAAATGCAGGATTCGCAATCGGTTTCTGTGATGTTTTATACGTCTATATAGGTTTTCTATGCAATTTCGGATGTCTTGATAATGCTGCCAAGGATCTAAGGCTTCAGAGATTGAAAGCATGAGGAAGTTGTAGAGCTCAGTATAGCAGAGGGTCTGGTTGGGACTCGGAATGCCTGCCGATGCCCTGTGGGAAGAGGAGATTCAAAGTGCGTGAGTGTGGTGCCAGTTGCTTGGTGTAGGCTTCAGGGCTTCAAGAGTTTCGTCGAGGAGCAGGTATTCCGGGTCTCAGAACAAGGCATCAACTTCACGGTTGTTTATTCGGAACAGGAGAGTCTCGCAAGAGGGGTTTACAGGGACTATGCAGTTTAGAATCGGGACTCGCATGCCCTCAGGTGCCAATGAAGTGCTAAAAGGGTGCCGATGCCCGCATCTTGCTCTCACGAAGCGTCCAGTATAGAATCATTGGGGCGGAATCAAACGAAGGATCGCTATTTTATGCCAATAGTTAACCAAATATTTAACAGTTTGCCACCGTCCTGCTGTTTAAAAAGGGTGTGCAAGTGTGAGTGAGATGTCTGCTCCGCAGCACCTCAATCGGTGTTTTGCAGCGCGTATCGTTTAGCATAGTATAGAAGCCTGGACAACTTGCACAAAAAGCAGCCTTTTCGTTCCTATAAATATATAAATATGTGTGTATATATATATATATATATATATATATATGTATACATACATATATATATATATATATATACAAAAATATTGTAACCACCCCCAGATCCTATTCTGACGGTTAATGTCGTCATCAGACCCCCGGTCCTTCGGAGGTCTCAAAGCCATGTCCTGCTTGTAGGCCTGCACCGACTCCGAAACATGCAGGCCCCCCCCTCCCCCCCCGCGCCCCCCTCCCCCCCCCCCCAAAGAAAAAAACAACACACACACTCAAAAAAATATCCCCTAACCTTTCAAGCTCTCTTCTTAACGGTTTAGGAGTATAGGGTTTAGGGTTTAGGCGTGTAGGTATAGGGTATCCAGAGCCCTCAGGCCACCTAAGTTGCAATTCCGAAGCCCAGCAAGACCTCTGCCGACTTGCGAGGTTTGCAAGATCCTGCAGAAGGTGGAGCCCTGCTCACCAAACCACCTCCACGCAGTCGCCTGGCGATACATACCCTTTCGATACGCAGATAGAAGCTGTAGATGATCACAGCACCCACTCCGAAGCCCTGCAGCCCTGCATCATGAACTCGGCCCGCAAACCATGCGACGGGGCAGCGCAGAGAGGAGCCCAACTAGGGTTCTGGGACGGGGGTTTCGGGTGTAGGGTTGCTTATGGTTCTGGGATGGGAGGTCTGGGAAAGCTGGGTACATATCCAACCGGTGATCTCACATGCGCCATATGTTCAACAAGCTGCTGTAGCCTTCTCGAAGGCTTTTCTTGGCATTAATTCTGGGCATTGGCACCATCCACCCCTTGCAGTTGCGACTCTAGACTAAATCAAATACCCACGTGCCTTTTTCTTCGAGGGTTGCGATGTTCCCCGAGCCTTTAAACCCTGAACCCCTAACCCCAGACCCACAAACCCCAAGCCCCTAACCCCTGAACCTCGAACCCTGAACCCCTACAGCCTAAACCCAAGCGAGGCTTTTCAGCGCTTCCTCGCTGCCTCGCCCGCAGCTGCACCAGAAGCCTTGGATCAGGCTCCGAAGGGTGGATCTCTTGGGGCCTTTTACTCTGGGACTCTAGGGTTTAGGGTATTGGGTTTAGGGTTCAGGGTATAGGGTTCAGGGTCTAGGGTTTAGGGTTTAAGGTGTAGGGTTTAGGGTTATAGGGGCCTGTGTGAGTACAAGAGTATTTTGGGCTACATGGTACGTATTATGGGTAGAACTCGGAACCCGAGGAACAGTCGTGGTAAATGATCAGGTTTCTATACCAGACTTTCGGATAGCAAGTACAATGGCACAAACATGCTCGCTCTCTTTGTTTCTCTCGCTCTCTCTCTTCTCTCTCTTTCTCTCTCTCTCTCTCTCTCTCTCTCTCTCTCTCTTTCTCCCCTTCTCGCTTTTGTTTAGAAAGATTATTAGCTCATTAGCTGAGAGAGGTAGACTTTGAGACCTGCAGACATACGTGCGGACATATGTGCTGACATACGTACATATATACACATGCACCCATCTGCCGTTGTAGGACAACTTTGCCCGCCTCTTAAGCTTTATACTGTAAACGAATCTAAGATACCGCAACTCTTGCGGGAAGTTTGCATTGGTTGTACGCTCCATTGAGGCCTCTAATCGGCTGCCACTTCCAACCGCTTCATTCAGGAAACGCATCAACATGCTTGAATGTCGCTGCATGAGATGCAACCCTCCATATCATATCGGTATGTTCCACAGTCTGGGCAAGAGGCAGCCTGAGGATATTCCTCCCCCTAGGAAAGTAAATCCCGACTGGACTGAACAAGGTGTGGTCGGCATGGCTTCTTGGCATACGCGGGCTTCTGGGAGCGACGCGTGCCAGACTTCGGAGTTTCAGCTCATTGTGCAATTCCGGCCCCGGATGTCCAGGACACACTAACTACGTCGTCTTGTTGTGTAAACATGTAACTATGCATGTATGTATTTATGTATGTATGTCTTACTTATTTTTTACAGATGTCATGGGGTATGCAAGGGTAATTATTTGCCTGTATGGATGTGTATGTACGCGATGTGTGTGTGTGTGTGTGTGTGTGTCTCTCTCTGTGTGCAGGCATACGTACGCACATTTCCATGTTCGCCATCGCTATCATATTTCAAATTGCAAGCTAAGGCATTATCTATAGCCGGCAGAGTCGGAGGGATGATGCCTGTCTTAAGGCCCCAGGTTGAGTGTCTGTGTCATTTGCAGGGCACGATACCTTCCTTGGGGAACAAATCGGAGCTGCAGCCATCCTCGAAAAGCTCTGCTATGTCCGTCATGCATGGGTAGTATTCGCATGCTGCTGCATGTCTGCATCAGCTCACACCCAAGGCTTGGTCGCCACGGCGTTTTGCAGGCGGCATGTTCAGCTTAAAATGACGTTCTGGAAGTTAAGCGCCGGATCATTGTCACTGTTGGCTCGGAGAAGCATTATGACATCGGATTGCCAAAGATCCATATGCAACGTGTCTAGTGTGCTTGTATACCGGATGAAATCGCATGGCGTTTCGGGACAGTCGAGGTCAGCGACCACGCCGACTGGCCTGCTACTGGGCATAGCTTGCTGTGAAAATGACAACAAAATTGCAGGCGAGGAGCTGCGTTTGTCGCATTCCGTTTTAGTCGAATCGTCGAACAAGTGTAAAGTGTATCTGAGTATATGTAGCGAAGTAAACCATACACATATTTGCATCCAGTTGTTCATTTGCGCCTTATAACACGGAGTTCAGTGTGTCTTATCTAGTGCCTAGGACCCATGGACGAAAACATGTGATTTGCAGATCTTGATCTTCCCGAGCTTTACCCCGACGAAGGAAACATGTCTGTCGTGGTTCCAATTTGAAGCTGCTTATGTCCTCTTTTCCTGGGTCTGCGGGCTTTCCACGTTTCTTGAAAAAAGAGTCATCATCCCCAACCTATAGTGAATCTGCATGTTGCAAGCTTTAACTAAACCCTAAGCCTGCACCCTAAACCCACTGTAAACCTTCAGCTTTGCTGTCGAGTGCATGAGGCGTCCGTCCAGCGACTCACGCGCTTCAGCGGACCGGAGCACTCTGCCGCCCTGGATGCCTTCCTCGCGGTGCCTGAAATGAAGCCGATACTCACCTATAGCAGCAATACAGATAAGAATAATGGAGCAACAGCAGTATGATAGATAATCATGGGAATGATGAAGCAATAGCAGTATGATCAGCAAGTATGATGCAAATTATACTGACCGGAGCCCAACTTTACAGCCTCTTCATTGAGCCTGAGCCTCGGGTGGAATTCATTTAGTTGCGTCAGAGTACATCGACAGCCAGCTTCGCCATCCTTCACCTTCATGACCACCTCTTTGTCAGATCAAAAGCGCTGCGTGATGGGGTTTGTCTGCATTCAGCAATGGCCTCTTAGCCTAGCGTGTAGAGAGTCTGGGTGGAAGCTGGGACTGCGCGGTGAGGCCATGACCCCATGGAGTTCCATGAGGTAGGTCCTCCCCCAACTGATTTATGATGATAACTGCGACGACGCTCAGAGCAGCATCATTGTGACGACGATTACAATGACGACTAAGAGTGTGCAGAAGAACCGTTCGCTGGCAGGCCATGTCGCCCCCGGAGAAGGGCCAGGGTCCCATTGTCCCTCAGGCTGAAATGGCGTAAAGTTAGGGGTGCCTTATCCGGAGGTCCTTGCGCATTGCGTTAATACGGGTCCTACAAACAAGAGTTCTGTATTGGGAGTTCTGCACTCGACTCTCTCCACGTTACGTAGCCGGCGCTCTGACACGGAACGCTGGTCCTACCGAAGAGTCCATGAAATCCATGAACCCCGAAAAATCAAACCCTTCACCACATTCTCCGTTCCCCAAACTGCACAAAGCCTCAGCTAGCTCTAAACGCCCTTGATGCCCGCGCCCTCGAAAGTCACTTTTTAGGATCGCTGATCTTTATCAAGACCCCTAACCAAGCTCTAAGACCTCGAAGCCGAAAGATCAGCCACAACCTCTAAACTCTGAAACCCTTCAGCCCAAAAGACCACAACTCCTAGACCCTGTCGCCTCAACAGACGCCACAGAATCCGGAGCGCCTGTGTCGCCCAGACTTCCCTGGCGACGGCGCAGCGCGTGAGCGCGGCTTTGCAGCGCCTCCGAAGCCATGGCTGGCATCTTCGGGCGCCACGCACCGAGGCAAAGTTTAGGTTTCATATGGCTGTAGCAGGGAAGGCCTGCCGGAGGAGGTGTAGTTGTAGATTTTACCCTGCCTCCATTGCTATTCCTATGGTCCTTAGCTATGTCTGTACGCGACTGCACTTGGCCCAAGTCCCCCGTGTAAAAAGGTCACAAGGGTTGACTTACCGGTTACTTGCCGTGTCTAGCTGGTAGCCTGGGAAACTTCAGGTTATCAGCCGTAGTTAGCTCCGTAATGGACATCGTGCCGTTCACAACGGCCGCGGGCAACAACGGTGACGGTGGTATTGGTGGCAGACAGGAGCAGGAAGCGAACCAGTACTTCTTGCATTTGTTGCAGGAGAATATACTGACCCCCGCATTCAAAGTGCCTTGGAGCTTCGCGCGGAACAAAGACATCGATTTGTATTGGACAACGTGTACGCCGAAGCCAATGCATACATTGCACACCTAGAGGCAACAGCGGGTGCGAATCATCGTCAACAGCTAGCATTTGTGAGCCAATCCACACACCTGTTGGTGGGACAGCTACACAACGAAGTACGAGTGCTAGAGACAATCGCCCGAGCAGAACGACAATCAGCCAATGAGCTGCAGGCACAGCTGGCACGCGCACAAAGGGAAAGTCATGATGAAAGGTCTATGGCCATGCAGTTTGATGCACATCGGTCCGAGCTGGAAGCAGCAGCGCGCACGCTCACTGCGGAAAACAGACAGCATGAACGCCGTTTCGCGGAATTGCGCTCGAGTATCGAAGAAAACCACAGTGAGATGATTGCCTTTTTAGGGTCTGAGTTTGAGGAAAAGCTTCAATGGGAAGAGAATGAGTACTACCATAGGCTAACCTCTGAGGCACAGCAGTACGATAGCTTGGTTGATGACCTGCAGGACAGGAATGCGGAGCTTATAGCTGAGGTCGACTCACTCAGGACTGTCTTGTCGACAGCGGAGAGTAGCCCACCGCAAGGTGGTGCCGTGCCGGTGAAAGTCGATCCCAGTGAGAGCTCCAAGCTTCAACCAAGCCCACCGCAAGGTGGTGCCGCAGCGCCGCTTGTTCAGGGTCCTAGTCATTCATGGATTCCGACCCTTCCGAACCCCAGGGAGATTCCTGTGTCGCTTCGGACGGTTTTGGGAAGGACCCAACGGTATGACATTGGTGAGCCTGAGGATTCCAAGGCCCACAATGTAGCGGTATCTGCTGCTGAACAGAGTGACAACAAAGAACCGGCAGAAGCTACTGAAAACAAAGAGCCTAGCGTACTTCTCGCTGAAGCACTCAAGTCGGTTATCCAGAAGCCTGACGATGACAAACCCAAGGCTAAGGAAGCCGAAACGGTGAAGCTACCCGACTTCCCTAACCCGGAGACTTACAGGAGTTGGAAGATCACGGTTAGGGAGGCCGTTCGGGCAGCATCGGACAGACCCGATGAGGCATTCAAATGGGTTCAAGAGGTTTACTCCAGGGACGCCGATCCGGAGAAGTTGAGGGACACGGGTAAATTCCTCACTTTGGACACAAAGATCCTTTCGGCGCTTTCGAGGGTCGCAAGAGGTGATCTTGGACGACAGATCATTAACTACAAAGAGTCTGAGGCAGCTGCTGGTAGGGCCGTTCGTGGTAGACAGGTTCTACTGATGTTCGAACACTACTTTAAGACCAACGAGGAAGCAGGTTCCCTCTACTCTGTAGAAGATCTTCTCAAGGTGCAGTTGAATGGTGATGACCTTAGCACTTTCATTCACAATTGGGAGTCGGTCATCGCGGGGTTGAACCACCAACCCGAGGAGACTACACTGAGAGATATTCTACTTCGGCAGCTTCGCAATGCTAGCAAGCTCAAGTTTGATCTGGAAGTTTACGACAGGGCTAAGGAAGGAACAGAGCAGCGCACTTATGACTACTTGGTCAAACGCGTGAAAGAGCTGTTGGCAAGAGATAGGACTCGCAAAAACCGCACAGCAATCGCCAAAGCTCACGGTGCTAGATTCGGTGCCCCTGCTCCTTCGGATACCCCGAACACCCCTCGCGGCCGAAGCCAGGATAAGCCCTGCTACGCTTTCCAGCGTGGGAAGTGCCCACGAGGTGATAAGTGCCCATACAAGCACGTGAAGCCTACTCCTGAACAGACAAGGGGCAGAACACCTCCACGTACCCCTTCGAGAAAAGGTGGAGGTAAAGGCGGTAAAGGTGGGGAGAAGAAGGACACCTCCAAGATTCCTTGCATCTTTTTCCCCAAAGGCACCTGCAAGAACGGTAAGAATTGCCCATTCATGCACAAGGATGCCGCTCCCTCTGTCCCGGCCAAAGGCGATAAGGCTGGCAAGGACGGGAAGAGATCGCCTTCCGGCAAGCGCAGGCGACCCAGTAAGAAAAGGCCAAAGAGTGAGGACAAGCCAGCCGCATGCTGTCTCTCCCTCACAGCCACCCTCACGGGTGAGCCACCGGCCGATGCTGGGAAAGCCTACGCAGTAGCAGCCCGCAAGGGCCCTGCCGGAAAGCCCCGAAGCAGAAAGGTCCAGTTCCTAAGGCCAGAAATCATTGACATCCCGCCTGAAGGTGAAGGTTGGAGCTTCGTACCAGACAAGCACAAGTTCGAATTCAGGTACAAGTCTGCGGAGCTATGCCCGCCATCAATTCCAGAGGACACCGAAGAAGCTTTGCAGAATGCCCGTCACTTGGAATCAGCAGTGAACGGGATGAAGCTTAAGGTTCGGGTCAAGTGTAACTACAGGTGTCGGGGTAGAGAAGGATTCTGCACTCACTGCAAAGAAGCAATTCCCCTGCCCCAACTTGCTGCAGCGGCGGTGACAGGTGAAAACCTCGAAATCATCGCAGACACCGGTAGCGAGGAAGATCTGATTAGTCACTCTGATTTGGAGGCCCATTTCAAGGGCAAGGCTAAGAAGGTTGCTTCCAACCCAGTGAGTTTGATCACTGCTAACGGACCAGTAGACGCTGATACCAAGCATGAGGTCTACATTGAGTCATTGAGGAACCCATTGCAGTTCGTTGAGCTCCCCAACACACCTGCAGTTTGCTCTGTAGGAAAGAAGTGCATGGAACAGGGGTTCTCTTTCCACTGGCCAGCGGGTGAGGCGCCATATTTCATTTGCCCAGACGGTCAGAAGATGATTTGCCAACTCCGAGGCAATGTCCCCGTATTTGGCGACCGAGGACCATTGATGGCATGCTTAGCGGCAAAGTCCTCAGAATCTGATGGCAGCAAGGTTGCACCGACCTCTGTCAAGTCCGGTTCGGGTTTTCGGTAAACAGCTGCCCGCAAGGGCACGCCGCACCAGCTAGGGGAGAGCACGAACATGAACCTGAAGGTCCAGCTGGCGCGGCAGAAGATCCCATCGAAAAGATGGCGAATTGCATTCCTCCCATTCCTGGGGTGGAAACGAGGCAACTGCTAAAGGCAGGTTGGACTGTCATCAACGGCAGCCCCGCTGCTAAGGTGGCACATTTCCCAAAGACGCTTCGAACACCGGCTCCTAAGTTCCCAAGGTATAGAATCCGGACTACTTGGGGATTCAAGGATGACGTGTGGTCTTTGTTGGAGGATTCAGTCAACATTGACGAATTGGACGGAATCTATGGGGAAGTACCTGAAGGGACTATTGCGACTATCACATTGTTTGCTTTGCCTGAAGGGGAAGTTGAGGCGCAAGCCGACAGCGATGTCGAGCCATACACAATGCCAAAGTCTAAAAAGGACGAAGCTTCCTTGAGGGCTGAGGCTGTGTCTTTGGAACATCGACTTACCCATAGACCAAAGAATCCGTTCTGCCCAATTTGCCAAAGGGCCAAGATGTATGCGCCCCAGGCGCGTAAATCTGGTGGATCCTCTACAATCTACAGTAAATCGTTCGGTGACCACATCACAGTAGATCACATCGTGACCGCTGGTGCCAAGGATTATGGGTTCCAAGATGAAACCGTGGCTCATGTTGTGAAGGACGTGTATTCTAAGTTTAGATACGTGTACCCTTCCAAGACAAAGTCTGGTGAGCAGTGCTACGAAGACATGTTGCACTTCCTTGGTACAGATGATGAGGTAAAGGTTATATATTCCGACAATGCGTTGGAGTTTGACTTTGCGGCCAGACAGCTTCGCGCTCGTCACAACACTTCTAGGGAGTATGTGAACGAACATAAGGCCGTAATCGAGCGAGAAATCAGAACCATTTTGGAAGGCACACGGGCCAATTTAGTGCAATCAGGACTTCCAGATCGCTATTGGCCTCTTGCATCGCAACATCATGCTATGTGTCTTAACATCACTGCGAGGATTGACAATGGTCAGATTCCGTGGGAAATCAGGTACGGTGAAAAGTTCAACGGCACGCGCATTCCCTTTGGAGCGAAAGTCCTCTATTGGGCCCCGAAGAAGCAACGCAAGCCTGAACGATCCAAGTTTTCTGGCGCAGGGATTGAAGGTATATTCCTTGGGTATCACATCCAACCTGGTTTTATCTTCAAGCTTGAGTACGTTGTTGCTCCCCTACACAACATCGAAGCCGCGTTGGAAAACGAAGATCTACGTGTGTTTCGCACTAAGAGACTGGAGCTACCAGATGGTGACTTTAAGTTTCCTTTGTTGCAAGAGCCTGCCTTGGATAAACCACCAAGCCTTGATGCACAACATCACAATGTCCTTGATGAGCAAAACCCGCATCCTCCTCTGGAGGAAGGGGGGATACGATGAAGCCACAATTCAGGAACAACTTAGCGAAGACCTGGATGAAATGTTCCCAGAGCTATTTGGTCCTGATCGTGATAAAGATCCTCCGCCGAAGGACGCGAAAGAAGCCACCCGCAAGGGTGAGTCAAAGTCTGATTCCCGTGCAGCATTGCTTGATGATGTTCCGTTCTCTGTGAAGCAGAAGCTGAAGTCCAGGGCAGCAGTAGCAGCGCAAGAACCACCGTATGGTTATGCGTGGAGTGGGGAATGTTTGGTCAAAAAGAACAACAAGAACCGCCCTGACGCTATTGATCA